TCTCTCCGATCTCTTTTCCCCAGTAAAATGCTATCTATTCCTACTCCTCACACACACACTCATACTCAGTAAAAATAAAAAAATAAAAAAGTCCCCCTTTAACACCTACACTTACAGTAGTATAAATGAATGGGAAGAAGAAAAGCGATATCAAATTTGCAGGGATGGTGGGAAGGTGTAGGAGGTGAAATTAAGCTCCCTCTCTCTGCTCCCAGATCTGAATCAGGCACGCTGCTTCCTACAACCAGAAAGACCATTTCCCCGCCACAGTCATCCCATGGGCAGGGACCCTCCATCGTATGATATGTTCTGGAGATCAGATCTATCAAAGGAGGCAATCTCTGCTTAACAGATATGCATTTTATTTCCAGGACAGTTCATGCTTAAATCACTATGCTATATACTGTGTGCACATATTTCTCATTTAATCCTCTCACCCCTATGAGGTAAGAATTAGAGATATCCAAAGACTCTCTGCCAGAGTTTAAATCCTGCGTCGCCATCGCCTGGGCCCTCTCTCCTAGAAAGAATGAACCTGACATTCACATGGTTTCCAGGAGCCTTCCAAAACAAGTGCAAAAACAACTACCATGAAATATTCCCCCAAACTTTTCTTTGTCACACCAACCAACACACCACTGACAGACAAACAAACACCACAACTCAGGAGTAGGATAGTATTTGGCAAAAAGAGCACCTTGATACAGAAGGTTGAGAGGCTGGCTTTGCCAAGAAAAAGGGGGGTTGCAGGGGTATCAATATTGGGATTATAGGTTCATTCGTTACAATGCCACTCTGTTTATTCAATTCAAGACAGAAATCGGAGTCCCAACACTGGTTAAAAAAACCTGGGTTTCAATGAATACCCAGCAATGCACTCCAACAGCCTGTTCTGAAGGGAAATTGTAGCCTCCTGATTTTTAAGTTTAAAATCTGAGTTTATCAGTGAACAGCAGTGAGTGCTACCTGCACTAGCAGCACTTTGTATCACCTTCAAGGATGTTCCATCAAACCGGGAGACCCTTTGCTTTGGTAGGTTGCATTTTAAATGTTCCCTGTCCCTAAGATATGTGTTTTGCACAAATCTGCCAAGAGAAGCCTCGGTTGATTTCAGGGAGGGTTTGGCTTATTGGCGCTTATTTGTGTGCATGTCTGCGTCCCTAATTTCCATCCTTCGCGCTGTCCTTGCATTCCATGAAGGCTTTCCTTCTTCGATTTTCCTTCAGCGGGGAGATGTTTGTTTACCTTTACGGAGGTTTTTCTTCGGCCCACTTCTTATTATCTCATTTCTTCTCCATTTATCCACCACGGAGCTACAGACCTTCCCTTTGTGTACCCAGCAGCGGCAGACACATTGTTCTTGCAACCTCTACACCAGCCCACACTCCCTCCTCCCACGCAGGGCACGGAGCTCTGCCTTCTGTATGGGTCAGCAGGTCTTCTAAGGCCTCTGACCCACAACTCACTTGAGACTTTGCATTTCTCTGGTCATTGTAGCCTTTTAAGAAGGTGTTTCTATTTTTGATTGTTTTTGGTCACTGGGCAAAACACCCTCAAAACTTATGTAAACACCACTGCTCTGCCCTGCATTCCTGGCATTTTTATGACGGCTGTGGAAGCTGGCCCTCAGCTAAGGTGAAAAGAAAAAGAAGCAGGTATAGATGGAATTGTTGATGTGTCATTTTCATCTAAAAAAAAAAAGATTTCTCTAGGAAGCTGAACCCCCAATTATGTTTCCAAGAAGCCACCTCAATCTTTCCTTTAAAGTAGAGAGATCAACCCGGACAAAAAGGAAAACTAATCAGAGACACGTCACAAGTCACCCTGTCATGAGTAACTAGAAGCAAATGAACATCTCAGGACATGACATGTGAGCCAAGGTGGAAAGGTAAGACTTCTCTGGAAAGGGACAGCTCTCCTAAATACAACGCCAGATTAACCCAGGACAAAGGGTTTCCCCCAGTTCTCTGAAAGGTCGGGAAGAATGTCCATCCATGTCTAGCAAGGCACATCCATAATCCGCATCTCTGAGTGACTGTGAGAAGTGAAGCCAGCCTCCTTCCCTAAACTCGGAGCATTCAGCTATAAAAACCAATACATAATGGATGAGATAAGGCATATTCAAAAGGCATCTTAGGGACAAAATGTTTCCCACCCCAGAAGCAGAGAGTGCAGGGACTCTTCAGTAACCTTATCGATCATATTAGCATATCTAAAGAAAGAATGTGTCAGTCAGAAAGGGGATTTGGAGTGGATGGGCAGAGAAGAAATGAGATTGAAGAGGAGCCCTTAGCAGCATGATCCCTGCAGTCCAGAGGGGCCCTGCCTCGCCAGAGTGAGCAGCTGGGGAGCCTGGCAGACACATCCCTCATGGGGAGACAGGCCATCTGGCTGGCAGAGCAGATGCCAGCACATGGGCCCTGCGTCTGAGATCACCATGTATGTATAGTCCGACTTCCTAGCGAGCTTTCCTGTGCAGATAAAGTGGACTGATAGTTGTTCCACTTAGAGTTGTCTTTTTTCAAAATGAGTCAATGCATGGACATTCTGGTGCATATCCTTCAATTTCCTGTGAGTTGGGTCAATGTGAGTGAACATTCCTGAATTCCATGAGCTCCTGGGCACTGCCATGTCCAGCTCTGTGTCTGTTAGGCTGGGACCAGACGCTTCATGGTGGTAAATTCACCGAAGGAAGGGACAAGGGTTCTGGAATAACTAATAATGATTAAATAGTGAACAGCTACTATGTACTTATACTTTATTCATTAATTCTCATTATGCCCTGTATTGAGGCAGAAATTATTTCCATTTTATAAATTAAGAAATTGAGGCAAGGGAGGCTCAAGGTCACACAGCTTGTAAATGACGAGGTCGGGACTGTCTCCTGTTCTGTGCAAAGAAGTAACACAAATCCCATGTCACCACCCACTAGAGGCCTAACCAGGGCCAGTGTGACTCCTTTTCACAGCAGGAAATAAGGTGGCCCTCTTCCGAGGTTAATCTGTCACCAGAGTCCCGTCAAAACACCTTGGGAGTGTGGATTCCTCTGCCAATCCTCAGCAGATAAATGCCAGTGTTCTCAGGTGGGGCCTTGGGTTCCAGTGCCAAATTGAGTTCAAAACCTTCAACACTCTGGACTCATGGAATGGGCCCACTGAATTCTGAGCCTTTCTGCCCATCTGTTTGGACTCAGTCACCGTGTATGGTAGGGGTGTCGAACTCATTCAGAGAAGGGGTCAAAATCTAAAATCCAGCCTAAATCGCGGCCCGAATGGTTTACTGAACAGTCATAAACTGTCATTGTGATGGAAACGCAACAGAGTGCAGTGATGACAGTGCGGTGCGGGCCACATTGCAAGGCCTGGCGGGAGGGATTTGGCCCGCGGGCCTTGTGTTTGACACATGTGGTGTATGGGATGACTGCTTGTTTTACTCAGATCTTGAGCCACAAGCAATGGGCCTGGCGTTGGTCAATAATAACGTAGTAAACAACATCAGTAGCATCTGTTGTTACCATGTTAAAGATGAGAAAACTGAATCTCCAAGGAGGTTAAGTAATCGACGCAATGAGAAGGACAGCCCTGGAATCTGACCCCAGACTGATCTGACTCTGGCACCCATCTTCGGAGCCATTCTGTACCACTGGCCACCGGAGAAACAACCAGTTAGATGACTCTGAAGAGAAAACAGACAGCACACTGACAGGCACTTGAACCCAGGGACATGGTGAGACCGCACCCACGGCTGTGTTTTTGTGGCCGGGAGCAGCTGCCGCTCTCCGGTGTGAGGGTTCATTCAGTCAAGTCTGAGGAATGAATGGATGCAGCAGTGAAGGATCCTATAAGAGACTATCTGTGGTGTGATGAGAAGACCAGCTAACTTTTCACACTGGCTTGACTTAATGACTCTTAACGTTCCAGGCAATTTGAACATTCTCAGATGTTATAATATTTAGTTGGTAAGTGAGGCAGCCAAAATCTGATTAATGAAGAAATACTTTTTTTAAAAGTAAAATGTGCCTGTTCAGTGTGGCTTCAGTGGTTGAACATTGACCTATGAACCAGGAGTTCAGTGCATTTCCCTGGATTGTGGGCTCGATCCCCAGTAGGAGGTGTTCTCTCTCATCATTGATGTTTCTCTCTCTCTCTCTCTTTCTCTCTGAAATCAATAAAAAACATATATTTTTTAAAAAGTAAAATGTGTAGGCCTAGGGTTTAGCAGGTCAAGGTAATGCAGGTAAAGTGGAACCAGGACATCTAGACTCTTTTCTGACTCTTCCACCTATCAATCCGCTCTGGTACCTTCAGTAACCTAGCTACCTCTTACCTATAAAACAGGGGCAGTGATAGATGTCTCACGGGGTTCTGGTGCAGGTTAAATGAGCTAACGTATATCAAACACCTCAAGAAGTACTTGGTGAGTAATAGTGATTTTAAAAAAAGTTAACGCTTTCCCCTTTCTTTAACTAACTCTCTTCACCAAGAGGGAATTGGTTTTCTGGGAGGAGGAAACTTCTTACTTTCAGGCATTAAAACCAATCACAACCCCAACCTTTTTCAACAAAGGAACCACGACTATCACAACCAGAAAAACAAAGCAAACAAAAGAAGGAATTTGCTTGTTTTGGTGACCACTTGTGGTGTGGGTGATTGAGTGGAATGCCACCTAATGCTCCAAGCCAACTGCTTTCTCTGGTCCCACAATGAGACAATGCTTCATCTAGTTCTCACCGCACCTGGGATCAGGGTCACTTTTCACCAAGCCCGGACATTTGGAAGTACAGTGAGGAAGAACCCTGCCAAGCCAATACCTGCTGGAGAGGCCAGTGTTTTAACATCTTCCCCCAACTTCTTTCTCACATGCCTCAGAATGGGCAAGGAAAAGAGGAAACATGGGGCAGAGGCATCATGATCCCCAAGCTGAGGTTTAAAGAGCTGGCGACCAGCCGTGGGGCAGGCTGGGGACTGTGTAGGAAGCACAGTGAGCACCAGCCCACCTACCTGCGGACCACCAGCCGGAGGGTCTTGTAGGATCCTTTCACCAGGGAAACGGCCTCCCTTCTGGAGCTGCTCAGCACGACCTCATTGATGTGCACCACCTCGTCCCCAGCCCGCAGTTTGGAGCTCACCAGATCCGCTTTGCCCCCTTCTTCGATCTGCTCAGAGAGAGGAACAAACCATGAGTTAACTTCCCTGGGCACTGCCTGGACTCCACAGAGACCAGAACCCACTTGCAGGGTAAGATTCAAGCAAGCAGGGCCTGGCCTCCTGTTCCCACACCCTCCACCCTGCCTGCCTACAGTACACGTTCAGGAATGTTAGCTGAAGGAATGAATGGTCTTGGTTTCCATCCAGAAGCCACTATCTCAAGGTGCTGATGACCCTCAGCCCTTTACATCTTCAAATCCCAAAGTCCACTCAAAGCAACTCTTTCATTCCTTAGAAGTTGAGTTCTTCTTACCTTATTTTTGGGTCTAACATCCTAATTCACTGGGTTAAAGGCTGCTGTGCAGGTTTGTGGACACTTAGGATACCGGGCCCGCCTCCCTTCCCCTCCCCCTCCCTTGCTGGCCCCGTCACTACCTCTCTAGTTGATAGCATCAGTGTCAGTGGATAATTCTTTGTTGACCACTCAGTACTAAACTTGTTTGCCAAGAAAGTTGAAGGTATTGGCTAACGCAAGACTGGGAATTACCTTAATCCTTGTTGTTGTCGTCTCTATTTATTATCGCCAATGATAAATTGAGATGTCGAGGTGCTTTTGCTGATGCATTGGTAACAAAATCAACTTCAATATACCAATACTAACGAAGTGCATGCATTTTTAGTTGATGTCAATGACTCACACAACCTATCTGAAATCATTATTATGACTTTAAAGATATTTACAAAAGGTTTAACAATCGTTTTCTGGAACTATTCATCAAAGAGGATTATACTTCTAACTCCAAGCCCTGCTGATACTGTCTGTCAACAGACTCGGTAAAAAATGAAGCTTATTATTTTAAATCTTTGGACCAATACTTCAGCAGCTAAAGAGGTCACTGGCATTGTTTGTCCAATTTCACCTGTGTAGAATTTACTTATCCCAAGAATGTGATTGTCAACAGTTTAAATGACTTCAGATAATACACCTGGTACAATGGGGTGGGAAATCCCTAAGCCAGTAAACTAGATGAATATACACCTGGAAAATTAGCCTACTTTTCCCTTCTCAAATCCTGAATGTATCCACACCTATAAGATTAAATTGATTTTGCTTTGATGACCATGTGAGGGGTTGATATTGGAATCATGTACAGTCTTTTATATTGCTGTAAATTTAGCACCTAATATAGTGCCTGCAACAAATCTGGAGAAGTTGACTTAAAAGAAATAAAAACAGTACTGGGCGATATATGCTAAGATAAAAATACATTCAAAGTAAGTAGAGGCACAAAGATGTGTGTGTGTGTGTGTGTGTGTGTGTGTGTGTGTGTGTGTCCATGTCAGCAGCTGGATGTAGTGTTGGAGGGGCAGGAGGCCAGGCCCGGTTCCTTGTCCTCTCTCTTAATCCTTCTAATCCAATCCAGAGGAGGAAGAGCGAAGCTGCCATTTGGAGGCTGGTCTTATGTTCTGCTTCTCCAGGGTCTGTGCCCCCCAAACTCAAATGCCTTCACCTGCTGCCTCCCAGCCCTATTCTCATCTTACATCATCAGCTGCAGCATTACCATGATCACAAGCATATCATTGGCAGCAACCTAGTGACCTGTTCCAACTTCAAGGAGATCAAGTCACACTCCTCTGCATGACCCTACTCATCATACGCAGAGCAGAAACCAAAGTCCTCCCTGAATGTGGGTGTTCCAGACGCACTCCCATCAGTCTTCATACATGCTGTTCCCTAGGGATTTCATTTTCTTTCTCCCTAACCTCCTCCTCATGCTTGCTACCAGTTGTTGAGTGCCCTCTGTGCTCCCATAACTTTTTTGCATTATCTTAAACGTCTCAAAGATGTTATAATCTTTTTATACAAGTATGATCACCAAGCTCACAGGAGGCCCATGGCTTGCTCAAGGTTGCAAAATTAGTGAAACCACAGAGCCCAGCCTGGAATTCCAGACTGACTTCACAGCCCACACTCTCCAGCTTGCTGCCTCAGACTCCATGGAACTCTATCACTTCTTCACTTGTCTGCCTGATGCTCTGAGCGCCCCAGAAATCTGACACCCAATACCTTTGTGTTCTGACTCTTCTCTTTCAGAGATACTATGAATTCTGAAGGTATTATAAGTGCCCCAGTTCAACAGAACTCACGCTTACACACAAGAAAAAGAGTTGGCCCACTTGCCATCAAGTCAGCGGTTGGCCTTACAACGTAAAACTAAACACGACTTCCATTTCTGTGCAGTTCTATCCGGAGCTCTGATTAAAATGTACTCACCCTGCAGAAGTCCCCACAATTGAATCTCACCTGCACGCTAACGTCTAAACTCATGAGTGACCCTCCCCTTATTTCCTGGCTCCTTTCATCCCTGGATGATGACAGGGAGGAGGAGTAATCCAATACCTCACAGTCCACGCAACGAATGTGCATTCTGGGTGTGTTTTGTGCAGTTGGTGACCTGAGGAGAAATGTGTTCTCCCAAAGTGCAAAAGCTGTAATAAAGCAATAAGCAAAATACAGAAAGATAAAAAGGTAAGTAGATAAAGGAATATATTAAGAATCTCTCAAACAAAGCTTTTAAGTGTTGCTATTTATTCACTTGGGGTTATCATCACTCACAACCTGGGCATTCTTGTCTTAAACTGTATGTAAAGTGGAGACACCACAATAGAGTAGAATAAATACACGTCCCTCCCAGGAACTGTATCTGGCTCTCAGATCCTGTGAAGTTAATAAGCATTTTGGGAACCCAGGACTAACTGCGGGACTTCGAATGAAACAGAAACAAAAAACAACAACAAAAAAAACCCACAAAAAAACAAAAAAGCAAAACAACAGAATCATTGACATGGGTTGCTCAGAGTGATATGATCCCTACCTGCTTCTCTCCTCACTGGGGTTATGCTGTTGAAAATGTCTTTTTGGGGTCAGAAATGATTGCGTTGCAGTAGGTGAAAGAAGTCTGGCTTGAGAGTCAGGAGTCCTGGGCTCTCATCTCAATTCTGACCCCTTCCCTCTGCAGAGCCCCTGATGAGTCTCTCCTCTCTAAAATGTGGCCACCATTGTTCCTGTGCAGCAGGATGAGACCGTGCTAGGGATGGAAACGTGTGTTCTCACACTTTACCAGCAGGGAAAACTCCTTAGTTTCATTTAAAATTGGAATACATAGACATCAGTTCCTGTTCAAAACGATGACCTGTTTCTTTTTTTATTTTCTAAACAGGAGACCATTTATTTCCAAGATTCGTAATGTGGGTGGCAGGCACAAGAACAGAGGTGGGAGCAGTGTGGTGTGTGAAAACTGGGAGCCCAGGAGTCAGACGAGCACGGGTGTGACTCTCATGCCAATTCGGGGGGACGCTGGGCAAACTATGCCTCCCCTCTGAACACCCATCTCTTTAGCTTAACTCGGGGAACAAGAAGGCCAACCACCCAGAGATGGAGTGAGGATCATATGAATGAGGGCACAGAAGCTTCCTTATGCCTAGCAAGGGCTCCATATAGAGCTGTGTTTTATGAATTGTGGAGTTTTGCAGTTTCCTTGAATAAGTTCAATACTTTTCTGATTTTACATCACAAGAATACACGTGTTAGCTACTGCAGAGACCAAAGGGAAGACATTTGCTAGGAAGAGATGAGGACAGAACAGGAGTTAACTTGATTTATATGTGAAATAGGAGACAGACTCTCCTGTGGAGGGGAGTTTTTATTTCAGAGAGTGGTCTCAGGGCAGGAAGTTGCCCAGTGACCCTAAGATCATCCATATGAGCTGCAGCCCCAGAAACTGAGACAAGCCCACAGATTTACTGCTAATGGGGAGGGAGGACCTGATCTCAAATGCAGGGTAAACATTAAGCTTCACTGAGGCCACAGCAGCCACTCGACCTTCCTTCCAGCTGGAAGGAAAGTTCACAGACCCTGGTTCCTCCAAGATGATTAATTAAAACAAAACAAAACAAAACAAAACAAAACAAGTTTGGGCCCTGGCTGGTGTGGCTCAGTAGGGTGAACATTGTCCCATGCACCAAAAGGTTGTTGGTTCTAGTCCCGGTCAGGGCACAGGCCGGGATAGCAGACTCTCTGATGTGGCGTGTGCAGGATGCAGCCAATTGCTATTTCACTCTCACATTGATGTTTCTCTCTCTCTCTCTCTCTAAAGAGTCAATTTTAAAAAATCTTTAAAAACAAAACAGAAGAACAAGTTTGAGGTGATTAAAAAGTTGAGTAGTTTGTATTCATATATATATTTTACAAAAGATTTAAGGCAGCTTCTTGTAAACACAAACAATAAGTAGTTGAGGGAATCTGAACCAAAAGGAGAAAGTAATAAAATAAAAACCAATGGTAAGATACACTGCAAGAAATGCATTCCATACATGGGGATTTTTATTATCCAGGCCTCCACAATTACACGGTTTCATAGGGAGGCATAATCTTCATAATTCAAAAATATTCACGAGTGAGGAGCCCAGCTTTACATATGGCCTCACTCAAACAGCCCTTGCAGTTTGGTACCAGCCTTGTCTCCTGTTATTGCAACCAAGTCTTTGTCAGCCTCTGGGATGTGAGGTTGCAAATAACCAATACAAAAAGCAAATGCCATGCAAATCAACTGCGTAGTTAACTTACCTGTCTTTCAAAAGAGGCAGTATATAAAATAAAATGCAAATCAACTGTGTAGCCAACTTGCATATAAAGGATAAGACATTAAGCTATCTTAAAATTATGTGAGAAAATTAAGATAAAAAGTCAATGTAATTAGCTCTTCATTCTGAGGATTAGCACATGATTGCATTTGCCACTTACATTTTTTTTATAAAACGAAGGTTGGATAAAACTTATTTTCATAGTCGTTTGTTCTGTTTCTCAATGCTGTGTAATCTAAAATCACATTTTGGTCCTTGTTTTAAAGTGGATTTCATTAGGCTGATTTTTTTCTAGGACAATTGTTTGCAGATTATGAGTGGAGTGGAGAGCAGTTTTGATCTCAGCTTCTTCGTGGCAAAAGTGAAAAGGAAA